TTGAGCCCAGGATTGTGGCAAGGTTAAAAGATGCGGGGGTGCCAACCTGCCACCATGCTGGGCTGGATTAGCAATCCAGAGGGAATATGCAAATAATCAGCTGGGAGGTGGGAGAAACAGGAAGAGGCAGAAACGTGAGGCTCGTTTTACTGTGTACAGATGGTTACTTAGCCCATCTCATCATGGAGACAGGTGCTTCCAAAGTCATCTGTGCAAGTGCCCTGCCTTGAACCACAGCAGTTAAAGAAAGATGAACAATCTAGGTTACTACCTCCTAATAACTTGCTCGCGATTCTGGATTTGAGTTGGGATGTCTCCTAGAACCCTATAGTCAGAATACAGTCCTGCTTAGGTTCTCTTAAGCCTGACTTAGTGACCTGTTTTTCCTCCATTTCTAGAACCAGACCAGGAGGAAGAGAGGCTAGGGGTTTCAATTTCACGACAATTCGAAGTGCCTGGAGTACCACAAAACCTCTTCCAGCTCGCCAGAAAGGGTTCTCTCCAAGTCCTAATCGTGACACCATGTATGCTTTGTTCCATACACAGTTTATCAAGTTTGTTTAATAATCTATTGATAATAAAAAGTTCTAGTGTTATTAATGCCTGTAATTACATATTTTGCTGATTGCTATATTTTCATCTCTTTGGAAGCTAAGTATCCACTAGTTCATAATCTTTTCTAGTTTTTCACTTAGTCTCTCATTAGTTTCCCCAAAGTTGCTTTTCTGCTTTTAATCCTGACTTAATTCTTCCCACACTCAGGTTAAAAAGGATGTTATTTGAACTCCGTTTTTTAGAATTTCTCTATTGACAAGTTTACCTTTTCCTTTGGATCGCTCCATGGCTGAGCCTGAAGACCATACTCATTGCGGCAAATGGTTAAAGTGGGGGATACAGGCACCGTCCTGCTCTCCCCTCGAAGGGTGATCCGACAGGAGGGGTGTCTTTTTTTTTTTTTTCTCTTTTGTACTGCTTACCTGGAAGAAGGTTCAGAAAACAGGACTTGTCACTAGGAATTGCAAAGCTAAAAGAATGTGGCTCTGGGGCAGATGCAGAAGTTTCAACACTGGAAGTGGGGGGGATGAAAGCCTACAAGTGAGCTTGGAAGAAAACTTAGTAATTTTCAGTCTAAGAAACCTAACTCACATGAATAGTTTCTCCTCGAGTATGGCCCTTTCCAGTCAGATCTGCTGGTGCTATCGAGCTGGTATTTCAAGTATGTCCATCTGCATTTAAACGAATTGCTCCAAGACAATCTGATTATGCGGTAGTTACTTTGGTGAGAATAGCGCCTCAGTGGAATGGAAACTTCATTTTGAGTCTAATATTAGACCTTGCTTTGGAAAATTCCTTTTAAATGATCACAAGCTGGGAATAGCAAAAGAATTTAACTTTCGACAGACAGCATTCACCAAGAATTTTTAACTGCTTATGTTTGGGTCCTTGGGAAAGCAGATGTGAGAAAGTGACCGGCCTGAATGGACCAGGGTAGCAGTGACGTGACCTGATGAGTGTTTATATCTATTGCTGATAAGTTTCCCTCCTTGTCTCATTTGCTCAAAATATTTTCATTCTTTGAGCATGAGCACGCTAAGGATGAAAATTGTTAGGATGCCTAATTGTCTAACAATCTAAGCTTCTAGGCTTCCTTGATGCCTGTAAAGGGGTCTGAGGCAGAGCAGAAAAGGGCCAACAAACCTACAAAACCAAAGCCAGTTTCTGAGTAAGTGCTGGGAACTTGATCAGACCTGGCCCCCAGAGAATATTTTTAGTTTGTCTAGCTGGTTGTGTCTGGGTGAACTCACCCAATTTGAAGATTTAAGTAAACTTTATTTAAAGGACTCACCCCCCACCCCCGAAGAATCCCTACCCTGTCATTAAAAAAAGTAATATACATGTTAATGGAGCATGAAATTTTCAGATCATGTCTTCTTGGCTTAACTCAAGGACCTGTTTCAGATGCCTCACATGCCTTGGATTAGGAAAACCAATATTGGTATTTGAGAGATGCATTATTAAAAGATTTTTCTGAAAGGGAAATGCATCTTTTAATCATGGTGTGCTTTTAATATAGTGGGTTTTCTTGTCTCCAAATAAGCTGGTAGTAAGTTGATGGTGTCTTAGAACTGAGGAAGAATGTTAAAAAGAGAGGAAGAGTTAACCATTTATTGATTGCTCAGGGGCTCCCAGCCACTGCCCTTGCCAGATCCCCGACACTGTCTCTGATATTCACAGCAATTGTATGTGGCAGCAGTTATCAGCCTGGTTTTAAGAGACCGGGGCTCAGGAAAGTTCTGTCATTTGCTCGTGATCACACAGCTAGTAATTGCGAGGAAGCGGCCGTGCTTGGGTTCCAATCCAGGACTGTTCAGCTTGGGGGCACCTGCTCTTCCCTTGCCCTTCTGTCTTCTGTAGCCGCTGTTCTTAAACTTTCTTGTCTTTGGATCTCTTTAAGCTCTTAAAAATTGCTGAGGACCCTTGAACTTCTGTTTATGTGGGTTCTATCTCTTGATATTTACTGTATTTGAAATTAAAATGGAGTAATATAAAACACCTGGGCCCCTTAATTCATTTTTGAAGGATAATAATAGGTCTACTACATTAACGTTAAATAATATTTTTATTAAAAACCACTTTTCCAAAACAAAAATAAGTCAATTGTGTTACCTTTTTGCATCTTTATTACCTAGTTGGATTCTCCTATCATCTTCTGCATTCGGTCTGTGCAGTATATGTTTTAGTTGAGATAGATGAAGAAAATCTGGGTTCTCATAGGTACGTATTTGGAAAGAGGAAGGATATTTTAACAGCCGCCTTGGGCAATTGGGAATATCCTCCTTTGATACTATACCAAAACTCCACAAGTGGTAGTTTTTTAAAGGTTAGTTGCTGTGTAGAATCTGAAACTACCAGTGGACTTTGGGTGCACTGTTAAATTGAAATCCTTTGGTCTGCAATCTTCCTTACAGGAAAGTTCTGCGTAATATATGTAGGTACTCCCCCAGTCCGGGAAGAAGAGCTTCATTTTTACCCCTCACCCCTCCCCGAGGGTGGGCTGGTCTTCATGACCTGCTTCCAAAGGATAGAATGAGGGAAAGAAGAAAAATGAGTAACTTGACAGTGGAGAAACTCGAGAATGTCACATGGCTGTCGTGTAAGCCCTGATATGATGTAACTAGAAAACCCAGAACCCCAGTCTAATCACGAGAAAACATCAGACAAACCCAAATCAAAGGACATTCTACAGGATTCCTGACCAGTACTCCTTGATTGTCAAGGTCATAAAAAAACAAGCAAAGACTAAGAGACTGTCAGAACCCAGAGGAGACATGACACCTCAATGCAGTGTGGTACTCTGGATTGGATACTGGAACAGAAAGAGGGCATTAATAGAAAAAACTGGTGAAATCCCAAATAAGTCTGGAATTTACTGTATCAATTGTCAGTTTCTTAGTTTTACAAATATGGTGTGGTAATGCATGATGTGAACAATGGGGGCAACTGAGGAAAGGCTCCACAGGAATTCTGTACTGTCTTTACAGCTTTTTTGTAAATCTAAAATTATTCCAAAATAAAAAGTTCAAGAAATCCATTGTTACAACCAAGCAACAGACTCTAACTATAGAGAACAAACTGATGGTGACCAGAGGGGAGGTGGGCAGGAAGATGGGGGAAATAGGTGACGGGGATTAAGGAGAGCACTTGTGGTGATGTGCACCCGGTGTTGTATGGAGTTGTTGAATCGCTAAATTGTACACCTGACACTAATATTACACGGTGTGTTAACTAACTGGAATTTAAATAAAAACTTCTTTTAAAAAATATAAAAATAGGGTACGAGAGGAAAAAAGAATCTCTTATGTCTTGTACTCTGAATAGATTGTTTACCTGTGCATGATTTGGTAACCTCATCATTACCATGGTCATTTGGAAAATACTGGTTCACTGAGTTATGTAGATCGTTGAAATGTTGACCCATTTCATTATTCAGTATAAAATTCACACTTGTTCTCTCATCAGAAAACTCTTTGTCAAGAAGTTCTCAGGCCTGTGGTGGATACAAGTTTCCCCAAATTCCGATTTTCCCGTGAAAGCTTAAATTTTATCATTAGCAAATACTGTTGTTGTTTTCCTTAACGTTGCAGGCTCATTTTGTCCATTTTCAAGGAAATATTTGCCAGATATCCAAGTCTAAATACCATCAGTTTGGTACCTATCCTTCAGGTAAAAATGACATCCAGTGAGAAACATGGCTAGTGCAACCTGCAGTTCAAACAGTTGTGCAAGTGCATTTCCTCAAGACAACTCTTGTACCTCGACATGCGACAGACATGTTTTAGGGTGGGTCTCCTTTTGCCACATAGAGTATTAAAGGCCAAGTACTCAAGGTCAGGATTTAATGAAATTAATTTTTACATCTTCACCAGGGGCATTCTGAAGAGAAATGGACTTTCCCCCCCTTTCCTGTGCATGTGTGGTGGCGGAGAATACAGTCTGCTCCCACTGCCTCGCTTTGTGCTCGGGCGCCTTTGCCTGATCGGCTCAAATACCAGCACCGTGCAAGAGGCTGGGGACATCTTAGTGTTCCACTGGAAATAGTCTGACCTCGCTGCCCTCCTGAGAGGGTCTTGGGCATCCCTAAGGGTCCACGGACCACACTTGGAGAACTGTTCTCCTGAAGTAAAGTAGCAGTTGCTATAAGGTCACAAAGGAAGGGCTGACATGATTGAAGACCAAACCCATGAGGAAGCAAATGGTCATGTGTGCAGGCCAACGTGTGTAGAAGCCGAGGCTCTTCTGGCTCAATCATCTTGCTTTCGATGGCTCGGGAAACTTTTCCATTTGCCTGTGGTTATTTCGCACCATGTTTAAACACCGAAATGCAGACTTGGATCATCTGGTATCTGTGTTCGCTGCTATTTTTAACGTAATCCTGTACAAGATTTCCTTCAGGAAATTCAGAAAATTCCTTCCTAAACTTTGATTTCTTTTCTTTAAAGGTAAATCTCACCTGGCTATCGTGCAGCGAGTGAACAATGAGGGAGAAGGGGACCCATTTTATGAAGTTCTGGGAATCGTCACATTAGAAGACGTGATTGAGGAAATCATCAAATCCGAGATTCTAGATGAAACAGATTTATACAGTGAGTGTTTTGAGTGTGATTTTTCAGAACCTTGGCTGTTTTCTGTCATCTCGCTCGTGAGTCCTCTCACGTCTCCAGGGCTTACTTGCCTCTGTCTCTAATTACCTGCTGTGTGCGTGGGCTGTGGACCACTTAGCCGAGTGTTCCAGACCCTTCATCCGAGGGGGGAAGAAGAGGCAGGTCCTGTGATGTCGAGTGGCAGTGTTCTGTTTTTGTTTTTGCTTTTTTAAAAGCCAACTTCTTCTAACCATGGATCAGGGCATTACTTGCCCTGAACAGAAAACTCCCTTCGTGGTTTTTACGTTAATTCTACGTGTGGAAAAAGAATCGTTCTTTACTACATTTTTATTTTCCACAACTAAGGCAATCGTATTCAGATAAATTTCTTTTTCTACATAAGGCCCTAATTCAAGTACTTGTGAGGAGGATTTGTTAGATTGATGGATTGCAGCTGTTTAAATGTCCTTGTTCCAGAACCCACGGGCCAGGGTGGGGGGTGAGGTTTGTGAGTGTAGGTTTGCTGTGGGGCAGTGGCGGGGAGGGGGAGGGATAGGAAGCAGGACAGGGTAGGGTACACAATAAGAATGTATTTTACCCTTTCTCTGCTATTTTGTTTTCTTTTGGGGGCAGGGGAAAGGGGTGAAGCGGGCAGGAGTCACTTGGCTTGGGGCGGAGGGAGGGGAGGCTTCACTGGTGTTTGTGCGCGGGGTAAACTTGATCCTGCGCTGAGTATTGAACCTGAATCCTGTCTCATTGACGTCCACAACTGGATTGTTGGACTGTGGAGTTTAAACCTTTTTCTTCAGCCTCATTCTTAGTAAAGCAGGACCCTTTCAAGAGATTAATAATGGGAAAGGTGCATTTTTGCCTGAAGATGTTTGGGACTCTCAGAGGTGGGACAGAGAAGAGTACCTGGGCTCTGTTTATTCTGTTTGGCTTTTAAGACATGACTTAGAAGGGAAATGGATTGTTCAAATGGCCTGGGGTGCCTGGGACAAGGCCTGCCTTGCTTCAAATAGAGTGATTTTTATTCAGTCCGCTAGATGGGAATGTTCCTCATTTTAAAAATGAAAGTCTTCCATGTACCCTTAGAAGGATAAACTTGATATTTAGGTAGTGACTTGCTTCTAAAAATGTACCTTACTTTATCCTCACATGTATTAGTGCGTTCTTTTAAAATCATCAGTTCCTATTGTGTTCTATCCTCTTGAAACTTGGAGAGTAGTCAGAGGTCACATAATAAAGAATATTGTTATTTGTGTGTTGACATTCTTTTCATCCTTCCTTACAGTGACTTTAATACCAAGTGTGTCTTTTTATATTTTTTCGTTTCCTCAGGGGTAGTACTCATCATAAGAAGGATCATTAAGACATTTAGGAGATCTTATGTTTGCTTTTCAGTTAATGTCTTTTAAGCCTCGATTAGACTAATTGCACACAGAACTGTTGCCTATCATGCCTTACTGGATGGAATGCTGAACGCAAGATTTTAGGTATATTCTTGAGGTCGACAGGTGATCAGGGCTGATGACTACATTTGCCATTAGAAAATTATTTTGAAATTCGGTGTTCATTTATGCTGTCTGATTCTGAAAAGAATTTGAGACAGAAGAAAATGATAAGTTACAATTGCCCTCTCCCTCTCCCCAGGACAAGCCTGGTAATTAGTCTGTTTGGCCGTAGGCATGAAATGGTAATAATGCACGGACTCATGATTCTCGGGAAAGGAGTGAGCGATTGAGGTCTTGTCTTTAACCAAGTTTTTTCTTGATCATCTCTTTGTCGAGAAAAATACTGGAAAAAAGGTTTTGTGTTAGACACCTTCTAGATCAGGGGTTTGCAAACTAGAGCCCATAGCTGCCACCAGTGTTTGGATAGCCCACCAGCTGAGAATTTTTGTTTGCTTTTACATTTGGTAATTGTTGAAAAACATCAAAAGAATAATTACTTAGTGACATGTGAAAATAATATGAAATTCAAATTCCATGTCCATAATAAGTTTTATTGGCATACAGCCATGTTGATTCGTTTACATATGGTTGCTTTTGCTCAACAGCAGGGTTGAGCAGTTACAACAGACACTGTATGGCCTCCAGAGCCTGAACTACTACCTAGCCCTTGACAAAGGAAGAATGCCGACCTCTCCTCTGGATGACCTTCTTCATATTTGCTTGACCTTGAGGATCTCAGGGTCTGGGCTAGAAACGAAGCTAACAGATATTGTTAAAATGTTCTATGAAAGCATTCTTTCTTGTTTCTGAAGAGGTTTTGTGTGAGTGTTTGTTTTCCCTGTTTCGGCAGAGGCTAGGAGCCTCTGAAAGGCAGGGCACACTTCCCTGTGTCCTCTGTCACCCAGCGATCACTCTTCCCCGCAGCATGGTGACATTGGGTAGCAGGAGACGGCGTGCGCTCCGAGCTGCGTCCCGTTGCTCTGGGGTTACACGGCTTGTGTGAGGGTTTCGTCCCCGCTGCCCAGTCGTGTACTTACAAGGGCTCTAAAGACCTTCGTGGAGCATGTTTATCGTTGATACTGGTTGCCTGACTTTGAACTGGGTCATGACTGTGCTGCAGTGATTTGACGAGGATCCTCTCTCCTCCCCTGTCCGGGGGGCGTTGGTGCGCAGAGTGCCCGCGGTCTGGAGGTAGTCTAGCCTTTGCAGCGGATTTCGTCCCTTTCATTCAGAAAGAGCCCTGATCTAATCGAGTGCATTTCCTTTTATCTTTCCTTGTTCTTCTGTCAGCTGATAACAGAACGAAAAAGAAAGTGGCCCATCGGGAAAGAAAGCAAGACTTTTCTGCCTTTAAACAGACAGACAGCGAGATGAAGGTGAAAATATCACCCCAGCTTCTCCTGGCCATGCACCGTTTCCTAGCAACAGGCAAGTGCCGCTTATCGCAGTTTGAGATCTCTACGAACCCTGGACCGTGTTTCTCACCCACCACTGCCTGGGGTGGGCTGGGGGTGGAGACCGGGAAATGGGGTGATAAGTAATGCCACTTTTGTGTTTTGTTTTCTGTTTTTTTTTTGTTTTGTTTTGTTTGTTTTGTTTTGTTTTTTTCTTTTTAAATTCTCTCCTCTCCTGTGTTCAGTGTCGGCATGAACCCTCTGAGACATTTACCAGGGGTGGACCAGTAACTTAAAATTGGTCTGAAAGGTAAGGATGAATGTTAGTGCCACACTGCATGTGAACCGTAGGCCAGGTCATCTGCTTCCAGCTCAGTCCGGGGGAGAGCCCGCTGGTGGCGTGGGCTGGCAGTGCAGATCAGACACCCCCTGGCTGTGTGTCGGTCAGTTGAGTAATTCTCTCTCCAGCTTGCCTTGGAAGAACAGTTGGACATCAGTGGTAACCTGGGTGCTATGATTTGCAAAGAAGAAAAATAGATTTTTTCAGAATTAAATCTATCTTTGATGATGTCGATGAAATCAGAAATTCTAAGAGCTTTGACATGGATTTCTCGATGGCCTCTTCAAGTCCGATTAACTTGGGCCCATTCCAGGAGGCAAGCGTTCACATTAATTAAAACCACCAATCCAGCCGGCACTGACTGCTCCAGAAAGTCAAGGTTGAATGGACTTAAGAGACTGACTAACCCTTCTCACATCCCCAAGTGGCTCTCTAGGTGAAGGGTGAGCTCTGTTGGCCAGGGGAAACCTGAGCAAATCGGAAAGTACCCAGTGGCCTGTAGAAGACGTCTGTGTCCACGATGGGCATCCAGGGCCCTTCAGCTGCATGCAGCATACTTAAAATATTTCGAAAAGAAGGCTAACAGTAGCCATGCGATGGAATATTATGTGCTCTTTAAGACCTAGAAATGCTCACAATAATACTTTTGACATGGGAAGATACTCATAATTTAATGTGAGGTGAGAAAAAAACACAAAGCTGTAAGACCACTGTTTTCGTGCACGCGCGCACACACATCCACACACACACACACACACACGTCCACACAGGCACACGTGCTCACCAGCCGCTCAGAGGGACGGACTGGTGGGTTCATAGGTAACTTTCTTTTCCTCTTTATCTTCTTCCGTGTTTTCCAAAACTTCTACAATGTACTTCCTTATTTTGTTATTATCAAAGCTAATACAGAAGCTAGTATAGAACTTATGGTTCACCTCATGAAAACAATTTTTTAAACATATAAACAGTATCTTTAACTTATTTTTCTGAATCTGGTAATACTGTTCATCATTTCAGAGCCATACTTTAACATTAAATGTTCTCCGACTTGACCTCTGAGGTACCGTGAAGTCCACTTTCAGTAGGAGCGACCCTAAGCCAGTAATTCTGAGTTTTGTTATTGGAAATAAAATGGATTCCTTTGTCAATACAGATACGCATTTTTAAATTTTTTTAGTTAGCAAGTTGGAGTGCATGTCGCTGTGTGCACGTGCCTTGCTTCCCTTCTGAATCTCCGCCTTCCTTTGTTCCCAGACTCTCTCAGGTAGTGGAGTGGGAGAATGAGCACTTCGTCTGGGCACCTGGTACTAACCCACACCTAGATGCTTCCTGACCTTTGCTTCTTCCTTCGGCTGTTGTGGAACAGTCAGACTATTGTGGCCTGTCGAAGGGTGTCCTGGCAGTCAGGAGCCTCCTTCTGGTTGACTGTGATTTGTATCAGAATATTAGAGTAATTTTATAAGAACTGAAACCAATGACAGGTTGAAAAGGAAGCATTTAAACAAATACGAGACTTCGGCATTTTCTAATTTCTCCCAGGTAATCTGCCCCCAGTGGATCACCAAACGGAAGTGTCGTTACTCCATACTGTGTTGCTTTTATTCCGAGTATTCTTATATTCTAAACTCCTTAATCACTAGTATAATTTTTTTCCATCCATTTGAAGTGTAATATCAAGTTGTGTTTATATCTATAGAAGTAGAAGCATTTAGCCCATCCCAGATGTCAGAGAAGATCCTTCTAAGGCTGCTAAAGCACCCCAATGTCATCCAGGAACTGAAGTATGATGAGAAGAACAAGAAAGCCCCAGAATACTACCTCTACCAGCGAAACAAACCTGTAGACTACTTCGTTCTCATTTTGCAGGTCAGAAGAATTGTTCAATAGTTGTTTGATCTCACTGAGTACCCATCATTCCAGTTCTGAGGGGACTTTTCTGTAGGTGAATGGGTGTGTCAAGGTTCACATACTTAACTTCCGGGGTTGCCTGATACACGGGAGGATTTCATCCCCCTGTTTTCCTCTCTCTAAAATAATTTCAGTATAAAGCAATGTCATTAGTTACTTCAGTTTCCAATACTGAAGGGCACTTACTGATTGCTGAGGCATGGTGGCATTCATTTGAAAAATGGTGAATTCAGTTCACATTTTTGGAAGAGTTTGGAGAATTACCTATACACGTCCAAATCTTGGTTGGGCATTTGAAATTTAAGTGTCGTGAGTTCCTGGGGTCCTCTTTTTATCGTCTTCTCTTTTTTCCATTCTTCGTTAGGACTTGGTTGTCTACAACTTCCTAGAGGTAACTTACTATCTCTTCCTTTAACAACATCAAATTAATACATTTATTATTTTTATTCCTGGTTACTAACCATACTGTTCTACAGAGGAACTAATGTAATCATCACAGCCTCTCCTGGCAATGGAAACTTCGTTTCTTCTCACTAATAACAGAATCCACTGTATGAGGTGAGAAGGTCCATCCATTCTGGACCCTCCTTGAGGGGCTTTCGTGCTGGAGTTGATAGGAGGCCCTTATTATATCACAGTTTCATTTGATAAAACACTGTCCTTGACATGGAGACCAAGATGAACAGTACAATGAATGAAGTGCTGGTTTTACTGACTGCTTGTACCTCCTTACTGAAGAATTTTACAGGAAGTCTGAGTTTACCCAGTACAAGAATCCTAGCCCCTTAAGCATTCTCCTACTTTTTGGTGATTTCCTAGGTATGAATGGGAGGGATCATTAGAAAAGTATAATGAGTACTCAGTAGGTCCTGCAATTTACATGAGTCCAGCAAGGTCCCAATTATCAAAAGGATAATTAAGGAGGTTCTTTTTATTTGAAAGCAAGCAACTCTTATCAGATGTCTGGATGAGGGAAACTCTGCACAGTGTTGTGCTCATGTCCCTGTTTGGGTGCTGTTGTGATGTCTGGAGGCAGAAGAAACTAGAAAAATCTGTGCGGTAACTAGTCACATACCACTTTCATACATTCTTTCATGGAAACATCTCTTTGCAGGTTTTCTAATTCAATATGCTGATTCTTCTATTAGCCTTAGTCTCATTCAACGCTGAACTGTGTTTTTCTTTTTCTCTGGAGATAGACACACTTGCACCTCTGAGGGGGCTGTAGGGAGTTTATGTACTGCAGCGAGGGAATAAGACATGTGTGCTTCTAAAAGCTGGATGCGAATATTCCTTAAACCTAGAGAAACTTTGAATTCGCTAAATTTTGGATTACACTTTGTTTAAAGGAGGACTTTGAGGACGGACATGGTGAATTTCAGGAGTCATATTAGAAACTATGTTTCAGTTGTCGATTTTTATGTAGTCAGTCTGTATGAAGCTGTGATTCAGGAATGCTCTGTGGGGGAATAACAAAGCCATTTCCTGGTTGAAAGATCTAAAAATAGATTTTATGGAAGAGGGACTTCATACTCCATACTCCCCGTTCATTTACAATTAAATCTTTAAAGATAGTTTGGGTAAGGCGTTTGTGTGTTACCTGTATTTGAATACCTACCTCATGTTAAGTATTTATATAAATGTGACCTTTTTTTTTTTTTTTTTTTCAAATTGTGGAACTGATGAGATCATGGGGGTTTTTGTAAATAGTCTATGTGCTGGATTAAGAGGATTTATGGAGGGGTTTAAACTATGGAGCTCAGGGAAAATTAGGTTCTTGTCGGCGAGCCAATTACCTGAGTGAGGTACCCGGAGTATAAGAAAGTGAAATACCGTGACCCCTGTTAATCTAGCACAGCTGTCACCTTTTACAAAATATATTCCACTCTGAAATGTCCCTAGCCCAATTTTGGAAACTGGTGCCAGGTTATTGGGCATGTTCCTCTGCATGCTAGAGCATTAAATCAGAAGCAAGCTTCAGTATCTGCCTTCCGTTCCTGGCCCCGGAGCCAGTGAGCTGCCCTCCATCCGCAGACACTAGAAAAAACTCTTTTATTAAGTCATTGATGTTTGGAATGTAATTATAAATAGAAACCCATCGCTCTGAGTTTAAATGAAGTAAAGTCTAATTTATTCAAAGCAGTGAACCATTTAAGCTTAAAAGAATTATTCTGTAAGTTACTGGGCACATATCTCCCACTCCTTAAGTATAAAAAGGCTACGACCTAAAGTTTTATCTGAAAAAGTAGATTTTTTTAAACTAAGATGTATTGGGGGAGAATCAATAAGGACAGTGATAAAAGCACAATAAACACTGAAAGAAAAGTTTATTGGCTCGACATGTCTGAAATAACAAAACACATACATCCTGCTTATTACTGAGTTGTTTTCAAATAAAAAGGACCTCCTTAATTATCCTTTCGATAATTGGGACCTTGCTGGACTCATGTAAATTGTAGGACCTACCGAGTACTCATGGATGTGTGTATCCATGGAAATGGATAGGAATATAATTTTGGTGGAAAATAATTTCCACCATCATAAAAGAGTAAGCATACCAAGAAAAAAGTGTTTTAACTTGACTAATACAATTAACAGGAATTTGGAGAAAATTAAATATAAAGCCAGGAAAATACACTTTTTAAAAAGTTTTATGTACTTTGATAAAGTTGATGATTTGCTATGTCATATATAAGTTCTACTAAACTCAGAAAGGTAGAAATTTCTAGAACCACCTGTATAGATCATAATGAAATAAAATTGGACCTAAAAATACATAATTGAAGAGTACTAAGCCATTTTTAAATGGTGACCAATTCTCTTACAAAGGCTTATACATAAGGCTCAGAACAGGGCATTATAATGTATTCCCATGTGTTTCATGTGCATCTGTATATACATGAATCTCTCTGAAGGTTACTCAAGAGTCTAGTCACAGGTGGTTGCCTCTAAGGAGGGAGACTTGGAGGACTGGGAATAGGGTAGAAGGGAGACTTCTCCCTTTGAATTTGAATTTCTTACAAGGTGCACGTATTACCTATTTAAAGAAATGTTGAAAATATAATTAACATCAAGCTGATAAGCCCTAAGTAGCAACTGAATTAGAGTGAAAATATATAGAATATCATAAAATACAGAAAACATCATGAAAGACATTATTAAATAATACCTTATATGCTGTATGTCAAAGTTTTAAGAAATTTTATTCTGAGTACTAAAATAAGGAAAAAAAATCTGTAATTATCTAGAAAAAGAACACAGCAACAAACCGAAAAGAACAAATTAAATAATAAAGATAGTCATGAAAGAAATGTTAATGAGAAAGCCTTAAAGCCCATAAATAAAATCAAGATTTGGTTCTTTTAAAAGATTAGCAAAATCAGTTTTCTACTGATGTAATCCATGTGATAAAAGAGAAAAACAACAAAACAAGAAGTTCTCTCTTGTCCTTTAAAACAGCTAGATTCAAAGAAATCACTTGGAAAAAAATTGAAACTTGGAGGAGCTCATTTTCTATATAGTACAAATGGGCCAAGATGGTATGATCGTCAGATTTCCTAACTAAAAAGGTAGCAGTTAGAGAACAGCAACGTCCCCGAAGAGTTAATCACTGTGACTGACTAAATTAGGTTTTTTTAGGAATGCAGGACTAGTTTAAGAACAACAAAACCGAAATATGCCATGTTAATTAGGAAAGGGGTGAAGAAAAAAAAAAATCCTAATGCTCCTATCAATAGATATCAGAAAGGCAACTGACAAAATTAAGCATCCATTTTTTTATTTTAGAAAACAAACAAAAAAAATCTTTGTAAAAATCCATGGTGAATAGTGAACAAAAAAGAAAAAGTGCTGGTGGGGCACCTGGATGGCTCAGTCGTTAAGCGTCTGCCTTCGGCTCAGGTCATGATCTCAGGGTCCTGGGATCGAGCCCCGCATCAGGCTCCCTGCTCAGCAGGAAGCCTGCTTCTCCCTCTCCCTCTCCCACTCCCCCTGCTTGTGTTCCCTCTCTCGCTGTGTCTCTCTCTGTCAAATAAATAAAATCTTAAAGAAAGAAAAGAAAAAGTGCTGCAAAATCAGTCATATCCTTAAACTGACAGCCTCCTTTTTGGAATACATACATACAATCCCTCATACACATGCATCTAAAGAAATTATTTGCTGAAGTTATCTATGCAAACATATTTATAGCAAATTTGTTAATTATAAAGTAGTAGTAGTTCATATGTCTCAACCACTTATATTAATCACATGATGAGACCATCATTTAGTCATGAAAGAAGTGGAAAGCACACAGAAAAATATCAAGAGTGTGTGTACAATAATTACAACTACTATAAACCGTTTTTCTAATTCACAGAGTTGGTATTTTACAGTGAAGGATTTGTTGGTCCTTTGGGGAGTAAAATATCTAAAGCAAAAAATACATATATATTTTTTGGAATTATATATATATGTATCATATATATATATAATTCCTCCTTCCCATCACATAACCAGATTGATTTTTTTGAAAAAATACGAAATATAAAGAATACTAGGAAAACAAATAACTCTTTTCTTTGCCAATTACAGAATCAATAAGAGGAACACTTTTTTTTTTTCTGGTGTTAATTTTTCTGCTTGATTTCATGCCTCAGATTTTTGTTGTTGTTCAGCTGTCCCACTCACGTCTCTCTTCAGGGCCTCTGACAGGGCTTCAGAAGGGGTTTTCCCTGTAGAGTGAAACCTGTTCCTTTGTCGGGGTGGCAGGTAGCATCTTGGAACTTACACATCCCTTGACATTACTTAGAACCATTTCACCTGTTATTGGAAGAGGACTTTAAGCCTTCAATACCAAAGCTTTATTGAGGATTTTTGAGTTGTAGGGTCTGTGTGTCCCAGCGAATGATCTTTGGTCCTGAGTCAAGTACAGATAGCACCCATTTTGAAGAAAAAAAAAAATTACTCGGATACCCAGG